ATATTCAAACTCCGCCCTGTGTTACACCCTGCCCCCCACTCCGTCCACGTTTCTTCATATTCAGACCTCGCCCTGTTTTACACCCTGCCCCCCACTCCATCCATGTCCCCACATATTTAGACCCCGCCCTGTGTTACACCCTTCCCCCCCACTGTAATGGATCACCTGGCACCCTGACTGGGTACCTCCGTTGAAGGATGCTCCTAGCGCTTCCTGAGGGCTCCCAGCACTCCAGCCATCACCATAACCACTGTAGACTCCTTCAGAGAGCAAGACAGGAACAAGCTCTTAAAAGAGTTTAGAAGTGATTATCCAAGGGAGCATAGCAATCCCTTGTAGTGATATAGCAATTCCCCCAATAAGAGACAGGACTCTAGATTGAGGGTGAAGAAGAACTGAATTTTTAATCCAACGCTGCTTTTATGCCCATTTTACAAACATGGTACCACCCACAGGGTTTTGCAAAACAACCAATCAACACGTACAATACACTCAGACACTTCCAGCAATTACACACAAAATCCTCCCCTCTGCCTGTGATACAATTATCTCAACACAATGGACTAACTTAATTATCACAGGCAGTAAATATCCAGTTTTTTTTTTTTTTTTTTCAAACTATTAATAACTTCCAACATATACATGCCATTCACATAAAACATACATTTTCAGAATCAGCATACTATAAACATACTCAAAAATCAAAAAACCCTCCAGTATTTAAAAAGTTAGCTGGGAGTCCTTTATGACTGTCCGCAAGCACATTTTCATGCCCAAAAGAGTTCCATGGATTTGGGCTGTGCGGTCGGTCTATTTTACACTGAGAAAATGACTAAGTCCCATTCGAACGAGTGTTTGAATCTTTGAACGGGACTTAGTCTCCAGCCGCAGTGTCCAAGTGGAGGAGAAGGCACGTCACCGGTGTTCGTGCAATTGGGTAGCCGAAAACAGTTCCATAGATTTGGCTGCACACACCGCTGACGGAGTGCGAATGAGTTAAAATGGCCGCTGCCACGTGTTCGTTTGTGCCCATTTAAAGTTGCAACACTGCTCCAAAGTAATTATAGGGCCAGAAACAGCATTATAAAAATCCATTATGCCCAAATCAGTTCCTTAAAGGGCAATACATCCCAGGGGCCATAGTCACATGGCAGGAGGCTGGCAATCAGGCTTCTCCATAACCCAGTGGCGAGGTTAGTTTAGCCACACCCACTCCGTCCACGTACCCACATATTCAGACCCCACCCTGTGTTATACCCTGCCCCCCACACTTAATATCCGAATACACCGAGCTGTGTTGGTTATGGTACTTTCAGCAAATCACTTTAAAATACCAAGAAGTTCACAAATGGTATTCCACGACCTAATAATAGTGAATAAAGTTGCATTTTTATTCATATTCAACTATTGATAATGAAAGACACTGTAAGAAGGTTTATTTAATCCGCCTCTCAGACAGCCAAATTACAGAGCTGGTGGGAGATGGTCATCGAAGGGTCAAGGAAGCAGCGCTTTCCACATGGCTGCAGTTTGTTCCTGAGCACTAGGATCCGAAGAATAATCCAGAAGGTCACCATTCCACATGCCCACGCCTCTCAGACCACGCGTCTTTACATAAGCCACTTTCAGAGAAATGCTCTCAGGGTCATCGTACCAGACCTGGTGGACACTGCCAGATTTATCCTACAGAAACATTAAAGGAGCAGAGTGAAGATAATACATTAACCTTTATTAAAATGAGCAGCATCTCATGTTCCGTGCGTATCCCAACGTGGCTCGCAGAGACATGGTACAAACCTTGTAATTGTAGAATGGAGATTTCTGCTGATCATCCCATAGCCTTCCACTGCTGGATCCATTCACCTGCTTCATGATGGCACGGTACGACACCTGGACTCCTGCCGCATCACTGCAGGGGGCGCCCCGAAAAGGCCGTTTAAAAAGAGCACATTTATTATCCTGAGAGGGAGGAAAAACAACTCTTTCTTTGTCCTGGCCACATGCATATTAGGGATCACTATATACACTGAACCACTTAAATGTTACAACAAAGTAAGAGCAGGGCCGTGTTTCATTTTGATTGGACCCTGGGCAAGCATTTACTTGGGCCCCCTGACTACATATAGATACACACAAATACACTACCTGACACACATGCAGATACACACTGACCACATATGGATACACACAAGAACATACAGATGCACACAGACTACATATAGATACACTGACACATACAGATACAAACACTGACATACATGCAGATACAAAGGTACACACACTGACTAAATATAGATACACCGACACACACACTGACACACATACAGGCACACAGATACACAACCTGACAAACATGCAGATATACAGATACAAAGACTGACACATACAGATACACACACACACAAACACAAATGGACAACATACAGATACAGAGACACATTCCGACAGACATACTGATACAGACTCACACACAGACAGCCATACTGAAACACACATACACAAAGACATACTGAACCACGCAGACACTGACAGACTCTCACACACACACAGACATACAGATACACTGACAGACATACTGGCACACTAACAGACATACACTGACAGACAGACATACACACACACACTCAGACACTCGTGCAAAATTTGATAACCACCCTCCAGTTTCTTACCTTTTCCTGGAGGGTGGCTTCCCTTGGGTCCAGTGGGCTGGCTGAGGTGGCTTGGAGTTAAGCTCTCGATCTCTCCCGGCCTGGCCCCCCTCCGGAACAGCTCCTTCCTCCCGCACGGCTCCTGTTTCTGTGGGAGGAAGTGACGCATGGCTGTCACTTCCTCCCAATGCTGACGAAAAGCAAGGGCCCGGTCGCGCTGTTAAAGCGCCACAGCACCCGTCCGGGCATTTGCTGACACAGGCCCACCGGGTGGCCCTAAGTGCATGGGCCACCCGATGGGCCCCCATAGTTTGCGGACAGAGGGCAAACTTGGGCCCCCCAGCAGGCCCCATTTGGCCCGCGTTAAAGACGTCCCTAAGTAAGAGTAACCCTTTCAGGACAGCAGGACATCTGTTTTGAAGAGGGTTATAAAGTGCTTTGTGTGAATCATAAAGGTCAACATTAAAAAACCCTCTGTGATGGTACTTACTCCTAGTAAGAAGACATAATTCCAGCGGTACACATATCCCTAAAATATGGTCACTGCCTCAAACCCTGGGTTGGAAACCACCACACCAGTAAGTGTCCTTGGACAAGACACTTATTCATATCTACCTACAGTTGTGATCATAATTATTCAACTCCCATTGAAAATCAGGTTTATTGTCGACATTTACAGACTTTGAGCCGTTTGCAATGAACAAATCAAACAAAAGTAATTAAAATAGCTCAACACAACAAATACAACTTATAATGACTTCTCCAGTCTCAAAATTAGTCAACCCCATTCATTGCCAGCATATTTAGTACTTAGTAGACCCTTTTTGCTGTTATGACCTGCTGCAAATGAGATGCATAGCCAGACACCAGCTTCTGGCAGCGCTGCTGAGGAACCTTAGCTCATTTTTCATGACCAATAGCCTCCAGCTCAGTACTATTCTAGGGATTAGGTGCTGCAACCACCTTCTTCAAATCCCACCAGAGATTTTCTATGGAGTTCAAGTTAGGTGACTGTAGAATTTGCCACTCTAGAATTTTCCAGGACTTCCAAAACTTGGTGGAATTGAGGTATGCTTGGGATCAGTGTCTTGCTGGATTGCAAAAACAAGATGACATGGCGTTTTTGTGGCGGGACCGCTGCCTGTTCGTAAATTGCTATGTGTCATTCCCCGTATTTCTCCCCTATAGTGTGCTGTATTCTTGTATTTTACCTACTCCCCAATCGAGAGGCCCCATATGAACAGGTTCTGTTCGCCTCCCGAATGAGGACCACCTCGATACCCCATTTAGATACCCATTAACGAGGTGTGAAAACCACAAACAGAAAGTGACGCCTCGGTGCGTGCCGACCCTGGGTTGTGGCCCGTTCGTTATACGAAAGCCGTTCAGGGGAGCATTCGCGGATTGCTTCCCACCTCGTTCGGCTCCTGAACGAGGACCTCCCCAGTCCTCATTCACACCAATCCATTAGAACGTTGGCAACTTGCAACATAAGTGTGAAACTGCAAGGGAAGTAATTAATAAGCGCTTGCCTGGGTGAACACCATTTGTACAGAAGAACGCCGGCCAGTGGGATCGTTCATGTCCTGAAAGGAGATGCTTCCCTTGCCTGGTTTCACCCAGGGATCCCACGAACAGAGAGGGTTCGGGACGGTTGCTGTTCTGAGGGTCCTAGGATTGATGGGATCACTCTTTGGGGACAATGGCGGTATGGCGGGTTTCTGCGCCTGAGAGCCCAGGAGGTGGGAGTCTTTCCTGCGCTGGGACTCCCAGGTAAAGAGGGTCTTTGGAAGAAGACCCCACTGCCACTGGAAGTATTTGGGTGGCGGGAACTGGGGACAAAGGGACTGGAGTTCCTGTCACATGCAAGGGCCCCTGGGAGGGGCAGGGCCGTGGGAGGGGACACTGAGTGGCGGGAACAAAGGACTGGGGTCCGGTTCTGTTATATGACCCGAGGGAAGGGGAGGACATTGTATGAGTGAACCACCCCTTGTATGGGGAAAGGTATAAAGTCAAGTGTGGCCAATAAAGCTGTTGTTGTATCCTGGAACTGGGTGTCATCCAGTTACTGGGAAAAATGGGTCTTTTACTTCATTAATAGCGGGGGTAACCAGTCGAGTTCCAGGACCCGCTACAACTAGTGGCAAATGATGGGATCCCACGTCCCAGCCGAACAGACTCATGGACTATACGTCCCTGAAACGTCCAACGTTACAAGATTTGTGTGAAGCCAGAGGGATAACCCCTGGTCATCGTAAAAAAGCGGAACTGACCGCTGCCCTCATGGAAGGCGACCACGTGCGCAATGAGGCAGCTACCCTCCAGCCAAAGATCGGAGAAGAGGATGAACTACACAAAGACGTGGTCCGGAGCCTGTCCTTGAAAAAAAGCATTGAAAGTCATGTTTCAGTGTTTGTATTACTTAACAGTTTTGTGTTGTCTGTAATGTGAGCAAGATATTACTTTGCTGCAGAGGGATTTAGATAGACTGGGGGGCTGGGCACTCAAATGGCAGATGAAATTTAATGTTGAAATATGCAAAGTTATGCACTTCGGCGTAAAGAATGCACAAGCAACGTATACCCTTAATGGAAGCGAATTAGGGATAACAACACGAAAAGGACTTGGGGATTGTTATAGACAACAAACTATGCAACAATGTGCAATGTCAATCAGCAGTGGCCAAGGCCAGTAAGGTATTGTCATGTATTAAAAAGGGCATTCATTCTCGGGACAAGAATATCATTTTGCCTCTTTATAAATCACTGGTAATGTGATGGGATTCCAGCATGGTCAAAATTTAGTAGGCCAAAATCTCCATGTGGCATATGTGTATGTTGTGTCAGTTAGTTAGCTACACGTAGCTAGGATACTGTCATCAGTGTACTGAGCATGTGCAGGAATGCAGGAACTGAAATTGCACTTATTTCCTTTGTCTTGGATGAGCCATGTGGTTTGACTAGATGTACAAGTCTATATTCTGCTCATTGATTGGTTAAAGGTATATGTGGGTGTAGCTATTAATGGGAGGAGTTATAGTGCTATATAAGGAATGTACACTCCTGTACATTGGAGTTGTGGCAATGTGTTGGTCTCTCAGAATGTTGGAACAGGAGTTCATCTGAGACCCGATCGGTAATGTGAATAAAGGCCTCTTACTTCCTGAAGACTTGTGTCCAAATCTCTGTGTTTCGCTTCTGCATGCTTACACTGCAACATCTCTGGTGCATTGGCAGTGGGAACCTCATCGCACGGAAGCTGGCGCAGAGATTTGAGACGGTAAACTTTTACCAAATCCTCAACGCTGCACCCCTGGACTTCTACTGCGTGGACATCCCTTCATCACTGGGCTGCTTCGCTCAGGAGATCATCGGCTTCTGCGCAGTGAGTACCGGGGTGTTCCGTCTATGAGTGAACCCAGGTCCAGAAACTAACAGGTAAGACTGATACCGTTAGAGCGGTAGACCCACAAGGGGTTTTATATTTGGAACCGGTTATTGGAATCTGCCCTGCCCTAAGGGATGGAAGAAGCGAAAGCGCAACGCTTATCTGGAAATTAGACGCTCTGTAGTCAGCCCGTCTAATATAGGTGGTATTGTCAGACTGAGTTCTGGTGTAAATAGCTCATGTCGGACACCGGTGTCCTGTCTTGACTAGCGTATCTAGGGTGTAAATTTTGTTCGCTAGGTCGGGGGGACCGGGAGACTAGCAGAACTTTGGTGTATATTCCGTCTGCTAGATTTCACCCTATCTTAACTAAGTGTGCTCTGTTGTAAATCCAGCCACTAGATTATTGATGATTTCATAGACTAGCTGGGTACTGTGTAAATTCTGCCCTCTAGTTCGCTATACGTGGTGTCTGGGCAGCGAAGAACTTATCGAATCTCTGGTGTATAAATAGATCGAAAGCTCTCGAGGTGCTGGCCAGTTAGAATAGTTGGGATTATTGTAAATGTTGTTAAATATATTGTAGTTGGTGAACTGGTTAACTTGTATGTCCTACTAGAAAGTTAGAGCTCTGCTGTCTAGTGGGAGTGTAAATTGTGTGTAACTGTAAAATAGTGCACGGTACCATAACTACTGACATGTACCATAACCACTGACATTGTGTAAAAATTACTAACAATTGCTGTTTTATGTTATATGTATAATACCATAACTGTTACTAACTGATCTGTGACTTTAAAACTGTATTATAACCACTTACTAACTGTACCATAACCACTGACTGTAAAGATGAGGTTACTAGAATGTGATATAGTTGGTTAGTCAAAAGTTGATTTATAGTACGGATAATTGTAGAGATGAAATTGTTGAAATGTTATGTGATCGGTTAGTTTATATGGATTAATAGCGTGGATAGTTGTATGGTTTGAATAATAGTTACATTGATAAGTGTATAGTCTTTGGGTTTTTGATTTAATTTCATGTGTGCGACGTCGTGATATTGTTGAGCATGTGAGGATCCTGTGTGTGCGTGCATGTGTGTGTTTGGGCCTAGTGACTGTGCGATGTGGTGCTGGTGATAAGGAGCTTGGTGTGACTTGAAACTGTGTATATTTGTACAGCTTTTTGAATCAGACGTTCTGTTGCAATGATCTTCTGATTCACAAGGCTGTTGGTCCTTTGTCTTGTATGTTTAAAAAAAAAAAAAAAAAAAGTAGGGAGTAGCCTGTCCTGGTGGCTGCATGGCCTCCATGTAGCAGTCTTCACTTAAATTTAGTGCAGGGTGTACATGTGGCTGTAACTAGTAGGCTGGAATTCTATGATCAGTTTCTATACATTGACTGTTGGAAACTGATTGTTGAAAAACTGCCTTGGTGAGTTAAACTGTGTCATATGGGAAACAATGTAGCCATATGGTGGTCAGAACTAAGGACTTAATTACAACTGCTTTGGACATCCCCTCCCCCCCCTGGCATCTTATTACCAACCTCCTATTCATCCTCCAGAGCCAGATTAGCCACGCCCCCATTCTTCTTCCCAAGATAAAAACTGGTATAGTCGGTATTTGCACTCCCCCTGCTCTACTGTCCCCGCCTACCCACATACCTATCTGTTCCTGTGTTTCAAACTCTTGTATTTCTGTACTACCCCTCCCCCTAATCAGTGATCAATGGTATCAGATGGTATATTGTTTTTTTTTTAGTTACTGGATGGGCCCCTCCCAGCTTTGTCCAAAATGTCCCCTTTTACTAAACTACAAACTGAAATGTTTAATTTACCTTAGAACTAAAGATTTAATCAAGCCTAGATATCAGGGTGGACAGTGATTAAAATAAGTAATAATAAAATAGGGACATAATTAATTAAAGTCTATTTGCTTCATTAGACTTTAGGGAGGCACTCTATGGCCACCTACTGGCCATCTTCGGGAGTTACATTGATAATACATTGTTTATAACAGATAGAAGTAGGATTGCTTACCCTATTTTAATATATTTATTGCTATAAGGTTTTATTTTATGTATAAATATATTAAAAGTTAAGTTTTCTTATTAGACCCATAAAGATTATTTTGATACAATTACCCTCTGGTGACACCTACTGGTAGGTTTTTGGTTTAACACTTTAAAAAAAAAAAAAAAAAGTTTCTTCATCCACCAAATGCTGACTAATAAAATTAGATCACCCCCTTACACCTATCTTACTACTCCTAGACTGGAACCTATTATTGAGCAGCCTTGCCGAAGTCCCATATTAACCCGACAACTGACTGGTAGCGTCCAACCCAGACATTACCAAATGCCCCTCAGACTTACACCAGGCCAGGCCCGGACTGGCCATCGGGAATACCGGGCAAATGCCCGGTGGGCCGCGATGGCCGTGGGGCTCCCCGGCCGGCTCCTGCAGGGCCAGCGCTACCCGAGCGCCGGCCCTGCTGTGTGTCTCCATGGGCCGGTGGGGAGATCAAAGATCTCCCTTTACCGGCCCAGAGACACTTCCAGGCGGCCGCTTGCTGGGGTGTGAGGGAGGGAGGAGAGGACCGGCGGAGCTCTATCCAGCAGCTCCGCCGGGTCCTCTCGCGGGATTCTGAGCGTTGCCGCGGTTACCGCGGCAACGCTCAGATCTCGCGAGAGTGAACTCTAGCCTACAGGCTAGAGTTCACGCTCACCACTAGGACCACCAGGGATCAGGCAGCATGGCTCTCCTCCCACGGCAGAACGGCTCCCCCCCTTCCCAGGCTAAAGGTAAGAAGGGAGGGGGGGGGGAATTTAACTTTTTTAAAAATTATTATTATTATTAATAAATAAAAAATTAATTTAAATTAAAAAATCACACTCACACACACACAGCACCCCCAGACACACACAGCACCCAAAGACACACACAGCACCCAAAGACACACACAGCACCCAAAGACACACACAGCACCCCCAGACACACACAGCACCCACAGACACACACAACACCCCCAGACACACAGCACCCAAAGACACACACAGCACCCCCAGAAACACACACAGCGCACCCAGACACACACAGCGCACTCAGGCACACAGCACCCTCACTCACACACAGCACCCTCAGACAGACAGCACCCTCGCTCACACACACACATATATATATGTGTGTATGTATGTGTGTATATATATATATATATATATATATTTACAGATATATAATATATAAAATAACCCTCAGTGAGTTAACAGACAAAGAAAATTAGAATGTGACGGCAGATAAAAACACCCTCACACACAGCACCCCTCTTACATACACACACACTGCGCCCCTCACACATACAATACGTCCAAATATATATATGTATGTATATATATATATATACACACACACACACACACACTACAGCACTACATACATTACGCTCCAGATACACGCTAGATCCCTTACCTTATATGCACTCTTAATCCTCTATACACACACACACACACAATCTCCTATACACACTCTGGGTCCTTTACACACTAGATCTCCTACACACACACTACATTCCTTGTCAGCAAACACATACAACATTCTCTAAACACACCCTCTCTACAACCCCTACACACACTACGTCACCTATACACACACACTACAGCCCATATGCACACACTCGCTACATCCCCTATAACACTATGCCCCCTATACACACACTCTCTACAGCCCCTAGCCACACATATTACACCACAAACACAAATGAAATTGACCTATTTACACAATACCACACCACACTCTACACACACGCAATTCCACAAGCAGGCTCCAAACACATGCACCATACACTTTCCTGGCCCTTTTGTCCTCTGGTATCCCACTTGTTGAGACACCAGAGACAATTTAAAAGCAAACACAGCGCAAGCATGTTATTAAATTTGCTTGCGCTGTGCAGAACAAATACAGGGCCTTTTTCTAATGCCAGAGCTCTTCAGCGCAGCTCTGCGCATTGAACCAACATGCTCACTTTGCGAGGAGGCGTGCTTGTCATTAGTGATGACAAAACACACCCTCTCTGGCCCCGCCCCCTTCTTAGGGGGCCGCTGTGATTGAAAAATGCCCGGGCCTAATTTTTTTCCCAGTCCGGTCCTGCACCAGGCCCAACACACGTGGATGAGAATGGCCAAATACAACGGGCAGATCCAGTGTTTGTATATGTCTCCTTCACTACGACTGATTTATTCAACTGGAAGACTCATAACTCTTCATATACTGACAAACCTCAAGTTATGACAGATTTGGTTACTTTTATTATCCGAATGTCGATCCAAATTGGGACGTGAATGGTGCTGACATGTCCCAACTAAGAGCTTATCGGGAAGCCATAATTGCTGGCATGAAGGAAGGAGGGAAAAAGGCAATTAATATGTCAAAGAAGGCTGAGGTGTTGCAAAAGGTTGATGAGTCACCTAGTGCTTTTTATGAGAGACTGCTTGAGTCAAACAGATTGTACACTCCTTTCAATCCTGAAGCCCCTGAAAACTTCCGAATGATAGACTCAGCATTTGTCAGCCAGGCCCAAGGTGATATTAAAAGGAAATAACAGAAATTAGAGGGATTTGTAGGGATGTCCATATTACAGCTAATGGAGATTGCAAATACAGTATATATGAATAGGGAGACGGAGGTAAAGCGGGAGGAAGAACGTAAAATGAGGAAAAAGGCAGATATGCTAGCGGTAGCTATCTTAAGTGTAGAAAGACAGGGAAGTGAATAGAGGAGACGAGAATAGGCTGAGCAAGGGACCTTTAAGTAGGAATCAATGTGCGTATTGTAGAAAGGAGGGACATTGGAAGAGTGAGTGTCCACAGAGAGAGCAGTATGAAGGTGATAGACAAGGAGAGAGAAGGGTACGAGGAGGTTATAGTGGTAGTTATAGAGGAAGAGGAAGTTTTAGAGGGAATGGTGGGAATAGTAGAGGAAGTGTTCAAGGAGACAGATACTATCCACCCACGCAGAGACCTAGAGAAAGAGAGGATAGAGATTTTGTGGGTCTGGCTGACACTATCATGGAAGACTATTGATACCGACCGGGCTCCATCCCACTTGGTTGAGCGATAGGGGGAAAGAGAAGTTCTTTCATGATCGACACAGGTGCTGAACATTCTGTGGTGACTAAGATGGTGGCTCCGCCTTCGGGGAAGACTATAACTGTGATAGGAGCTACTGGGAGAAGTGCAGCTAGACCGGTTCTTAAGAGTCGCACTTGTATTCTGGGAGGCCATGTGGTGAAGCATTAGTTCCTATATATGCCAGAGTGTCCGATTCAACTTTTAGGACAAGATCTATTATCGAAGCTTTAAGCTCAGATAACCTTTTACCTAATGGATCAACATCTCTGAAGTTTAAGGGATTACCAGGCATAATGGCGATATCGGTGCCAAGGGAAGAAGAATGACGCTTCTATTCCATAGTGACAAGTGTTAACCCTAAGAGTGATGAATCCTTATTTGACATTCCAGGAGTATGGGAAGAAAATAATCCTCCAGGACTTGCTCGTAATATCCCACCAATACATATTGAGTTAAAGCTCGGGGTGTATCCGGTCACTGGCGGATCCAGGGGGGGGGCAACGGGGCAATTGCCCCCCCCGAGAAATCCGCCGGTCTCCCTCCCCTACCAGCAGCACATGCAGGTGCTAGCCCTGCAATGTGCCTGCGGACCGGAGGGGAGATCAGAGCTCTCCCTCCCCGGTCCGCAGGCACTGTGCTGACAGCCGGCAGGGGAGGGAGAGGGAGGACCCGGGAGCTCAGCCTGCAGCTCCTCCGGGTCCTCCTCTCGCAAGATTTGGAGAACCGCGGCAACGCTCCAAATCTCGCGAGAGTGAACTCTAGCCCGGGAGCGCGGGCTAGAGTTCACTGTAACCACTGGGACCACCAGGGAATCACCACTGGGACCACCAGGGATGAAAATATGTCCCCCCTCCTCCTCAATAAAGGTAAGAAGGGAGGGGGGGACATAGAATATTTGTTTTTTTTTTAATTAAATAAAGATATATATTATAAAAAAAAAAAGCCCCCCCCCACCCTTAACACACACACATAGCCCCCATACTGCCCCCCATACACACATGCTGCCCCCCCATACACACATGCTGCCTCCCCATACACACACATACTGCCCCCATGCCGTCTCCCCATACACACATACTGCCTCCCATACACACATACTGCCCCCCATGCTGCCCCCCATACACACATACGCTCCCCATACACATACTGCCCCCCATACACACACATACTGCCCCCATGCTGCCCCCCATACACACATACTGCCCCATACACACACATACTGCTCCCCATGCACACATACTGCCCCCCATGCACACATACTGCCATCATACACACATACTGCCCCCCATACACACACACTGCCCCCATACACATTGCCCACATTCACACACACACTGCAACTGTTACACACACATACTGTCCCACACATACACTGCATCCCTGACATACACTGCCCCCCCTACTCACACACTACAACCTTCACACACACACACACACACTGCTCACACACTGTCCCCCTCACACACACACACATTGCACCCCTTACACATTTCACCACTCACACACACCACTGCTCCTATGCCCTACTACCGCCCCATTTCCCAGCAGACCTCAGGTAAGTTGTCAAACTGTTCTTAAACGGTTTGACTACTTATTCTAGGAGGGGGTCCCGGCACTATTGACACCATAACCACTACACTGAGCTGTAGTAGTTATTGTGTCTGGATTATTTCTTTAAATAATCTACAAGTGCCCCTCCCGAGATCAGGCTCTGGATCCGCCACTGGCTGTTTATTGGTATATATAGGAGTATACATTCTTTATAGCTTTTTATTGGTGTGTATATATAGGAGTATACATTCTCTAGCTGTTTATTGGTGTATATATAGGAGTATACATTCTTTATAGCTGTTTATTGGTGTGTATAGGAGTATACATTCTTTATAGCTGTTTATTGGTATATACATAGGTTATGTACAATACAGAGGCAGGGGGTGTTGGAGAGCAGCACTGCACGGGTTAAGCTATGACTGGCGATGCTGGGTCCTCCCCCTCAAACCATCAGTCGGTGCGGATCCATGGCAGTCAGGGAAGGGGGGTCTGGCCGTGCCCGGGGGCCAGGCAGGGAGGAGGCGGTGTGCTGGCCATGTACCCCCGGTGTGCGGCTGTCTTGGTGTCGGGGTCTTGCTGGTTAGCCCCGGTCATTGCACCGGCAGGCAGCCACTACACCGCTTCTGGCCGGGCTACACATCAGGCTCTGGGGACTAGGCTGCATCCATCCGGCGATAAAGGTACTGCAGATATACTCAGCACTACCCAGGCATGGAGAGGGGGGGCATAGACTCCCAGCACTACCCAGGCATGGAGGGGGGCAGAGACTCCCAGTACTACCCAGGCATGGAGGGGGGGGGCACAGACTCCCAGCACCAGGGCATGGAGGGGGGGCAGAGACTCCCAGTACTACCCAGGCATGGAGGGGGGGGGGCAGAGACTCCCAGTACTACCCAGGAATGGAGGAGGGCAGAGACTCCCAGCACTACCCAGGAATGGAGGAGGGCAGAGACTCCCAGCACTACCCAGGAATGGAGGGGGCAGAGACTCCCAGTACTACTCAGGCATTGGGGGGGCAGAGACTCCCAGTACTACCCAGGCATGGAGG